AGAGCAGAGCAGAGCAGAGCAGAGCAGAGCGGAGCGGAGCAGGGCGGCGGCGGGTGAAAGTGGCCGCGTAGCGCCTCCCCGCGCGCGCAACTGGGCCGCCGCGCCCACAGTGCGGCGAAACCACTTCACGACGAGCACTGGGGGAGGTGGCTCAGGGCATCATTGATGTCACTGCAGGGCCTCTGACCGGGAGGTCCCAGATTCGAGTCTCGATAGAGGCAGGATGTCCGACGAGCTAGATAGCTAAGTCGAATGCAGTCGCTGACTGGAGGAGAATTCTCGCGAATTCTCATGAGTAGTTTTCCGTGGTTTCTGCGATCAACACCAGGCGAATGCCGAATAACTGTAACAAACGGGCCACGGACCGCGTGCAATCTTTCTTTCCCATCCACACGTGCCGGGAGGCCGGTCGAGAACTTGGAATCCCGACGTTAGGGGATTTTCGTAATTTGTTACACAGCTAGGTCAGCCAGCTGCTCTGATCAGTGGTTTCTCTTATCAGTATCAGGCGCTGTATCTAGTGCCCTAACGATAAGGACCGCGCTCGTTCTTCCCTTCCCTCCTCTCTCCTTACACACATTACAACCACCACATTACCACACATGTCGGGAGACCGCTGGGGGGGGGGGGGCAGAGCGTGTTCCGGTTGGGCTGGTGCCCCAGAGGTGAGATACCCGTGAGAGGAAACCTTCTTCACAGTTGTGTAGGTCGGAGCCGGATCACGCATTCCAACAGAATAGGAAGACAGCCACCGCCCAGCTATAACAGGCACTACTTACGGGACTAATGTCATTAGCACCATGAAAACACGAAAGTTACTCACGCACTCACTGAAAGAAGCAGCGATACCCATCCCAACGGTGGCGGATCCAAGAGGAAGCGATGCCCTCCCGCCCCATCCAACATTTTTTGTAATTTTCCTCAGAATAGATGTAGTCACATCCAGAACTGAATCCCCATTATGAATTATACCCATACATTTTAAATTCAAGGTAACGTTTAAAAAAATTAAAAATGCATGGGGGGGGCCCAAACTCAAAATGTCCCCTTCCCTTCAAATACGAATTCTGCCTCTGCATCTCGTTCTCGCGGATCGGCGCTCATTTCTCTCAAGCTGAAGTCCCTCTTAATACTCCCCACACTATCTCATAGCTACATGGTGAGCTGTGTGCATCACCTCGCTGTAGAGAATTGCAGGCATGTAATGTTAAACACTTATATTTTCGTTTGTTGAAAATTTATTCAAGACGATGCATCTATGAGACGAATAAAATTATAAGTAAAGATAATTTTAGATTAATGCGTTATTATTCGGGCAGAGTGATTTTCGACTTCTCAATTCAGATAGCAAAAACTTAGTTGATTAGTACATCAGTGAATATTGAAAATATCATTTAAATACTAATGAGAATTAGTGTAATTTGGGGCCCTAAATATCATTGCACAGACATTTGCCTCCTACAAACAGGACATTATATGTAAAAGAGAAAATGTTAAAAGTGAAACGTGATATTGAGCGCTTTTGATTATTTTGTGAAATTCTCTGCGTTTCCTAAATTGATTCTGTGTATCTTCGTAAGGACGAATGTCGTTATCTTCTGAGATTGATGATTTGATCTAGGAGCTAAAAAACAATGCATTGTTAGCTTTCTGACTCATTTGTCAATAAGAAATGTCTTCCATATTCCAAAAAGGGATGTGAATTCAATACATTTGATTCACTTCCGTTTAAAGTATGTTCACTTTCGTTGTGAAACGTTCCCTTCTTTCTGATGCTGCATGGAAGTGCAATGAAACCAGGTCAGGAGGATTGCACGGCGCCTCTGCACCATCACTGCGTCTGTGTGGGCAGATAATTGTGCAACACTTTTTCCTTAGGTCCGCCCATACAGGATGATAATAATAATAATAATAATAATAATAATAATAATAATAATTGTTATTATTATTATAACTATAGTTATAATAATGTATTTTCGCTTATAAACTGAAGAAGTTCCTTTCCATTCTAATTTTCGTTACGAAACCTTTAAAGGCACGTTCGCAAAATTTTGTGTTTTTTAAACCTCTCTCCCTCTTTTTAACCATTCAAACTCTAACACGCCTTGGCATGAACATTCCATTTCGAACCCTCCTCTTTCTGTTGTTGCGTTAAAGAAAAGTGACATTATAATTTTCATATACATTTTAACTTTTTTTTCAAATCTGATCGCGAGATATAATTTTGGTTAATTTTAACAGTCATTTCTAATTTGAAATAAATTTACATATCACAAAATTTTTGCAAGACGTTATTTTTCATCATCCCTCTCCCCTCCCCCGTTTTGCTCTTATTACTTGCGAGAACCCCTTCCTCTCTCAAAACGTACGTATCTTTTGAATAACCCCGAATTTATAAACGTATTTATTTGTATTAAATGTTGAAAAACGTGGGGCGAGATAGTAGGCACAATGGCCGGAAACGTGTCTAAAATAAAGGGCTTTATTTATTTGTTTATTTATTTATTTATTTTAAATGAAGTATTTTCTACCTGGAACGATAGTGAGCAACTTTCTGGACATTTACGACCACACTTTACTCTTTGTAAAAGCAATGGTGACCACACATTGTATCAGTTTATCATATTTCAATTAGTGTCCCTTTCAATTGCATGGTTGAGTAATAGATTTCACAGATAATTATACTGATTTCAGAATTACGGCTGCGATCCGATATCTTCTAATTCACTTTGTGATTAGTAGTTTATCAGACGAATCACAAATAACGCAAAGTAATCTTAATTCAGTTGCGAGACATCCTTATGTCACGAGAATCTTAATATAGAAAGTTACTTTCTATTGCTACAAAAAATATATCTCCCAGATCTTTGTATGTATGTCAACTTCATTCATTCATGAGCGTAGCAAATGTATCGACAATAACCTTTTGTGCCAGAATAAAAGACAAATGCTTTATCATAATAGTATTCCTAAGAATTTCTTTTCTTACATTTCAAAGCTTAAAATTGACATTTGTTGAATATTAGAATAGTTTATTAGTTGCAAATAAAATGATTGCAGAGTCACATTTTTAAACGTGCTGAAATTCCCACTTCATAAACGAAATTAAACTTTCTTTAGTAAACAATTAGGGATTGTGTCCAATACGCCGAGAAAACACCGATGGCACGGATCTTTGCGCTGCAGCAGAACCGACTTGTTTACAAAATAAAGAGAGAGTTCCAAGGCGCTCAAGTGCGCCGCAGCTCGCGGTCGTGATCGACGTGT